ATTTCTTTGTTTGGTAAGTGGAACTGGAAGTTTGGACAATCACTGGAAAACAAAATTCAACTGCTGCATTTATTACAGCAGTAGGAAGTGTGCTAATAAGCAATGCCAATATAAATACTGTCATTCAGAGCTCAGCTTATTGCTGTGGTGTAAAACCAGACAGGGTGCTCACGGATGCTGCTCAGACAGACAAGTGAATCTCTAATAGCCAGCAATAAGGTGTGCAGAACAGTTGTGCAAAGGTGACAAATTCTGCCTAAACGATGGAGGAGCAAAACATAAGAACCAGGAATTTAAAATTATTCCATTTTTTCTTACAAGAGCTGAGTTTGCCTTCTTAAATGCAAATTTAAGTACCTATGTTCTCAATAGCTTTTAAATAGTAAGTCTGTGACTATTGTGTAGAAAACTGTAGAAATATGTTTTGTTATGTATTTTTTTTTTGCTTTAGAAAAGTTCTGGGAAGCTTGAAATTTGGTTTCCTTGCCTTCCAGTCCCATCCTTATCCATTTGGCAAGCGCAGTCTACAGCTGCTCATTTAGGACGCTGTGAGAAAAGCTTACAATTCCCATTAGTAGGGGAATAAGCCATATCATGTTTGATAGCACAGATCCTGCTTGTCAGGCAAATGCCTTTTGATAGCAGCTCCCATCCCCACCTCTCCAACCCCCAAAGAATTAAAAACACGGTGTCTCTTCTGGTCTTATTTTTAGAACCTGTGCTGTGTTTTGTATGCACACGAGAGAACAAAACAGCGCTGTCTGTGCGTGTTGCAGCTATTTTCCTGCCGCTCGGGAGGTCTGGCTGAGTATGGGGTGTGCAACAGCTGATGTTTTGGGAGGACTTGCAGGGTCATGGGGCAGGGCAAATGGTACAAACTGGGTGGCCCAGCCAGATACAAACCTCCTTTCTCCCTCTTTAACAGGCATGACAGCCTTTTCTGGGTCCTCTCTGTTGTTGTTTTGTTGGGGTTTTTTTGTTTTTTTGTTTTTTTTTTTTTCTGGTTCTCTTCAGTCCTAAATTGAGAGCTTATTTCAGTGCTTGAGGGAGGAGTGTTAGGAATGTCACGTGTTGGTGTGATTATTCAGTAACAAAATAAAGGTACAGATTAGCACTTCAGAAGCAGAATTGTTGAACTTCGTGTTCTACTACTGTTTTGTAGAGTTAGGGGTTCTTTTTGTCTGAAACCATCCGTAGGCCAACAAATGCAAATGAGACCTCATGGTCATCTTAGTTGTGCAATTTATCAGATGATCTTATGAACAAGGAAAGAATTTTTAAAAAAAGTTAAAGCTTTATTCATATAAAATCCATAGCTTAAGCAGTTTATCCAGATGTTTTAAGATTATTTTTTTTTGTAATTCCTGTTTCTTATGGATTATTTCATAGGAGACAGTGAAAAAGTTGATTGGGATTTCTCTTGGACGTTTCAGTCTTCCCTGTTGCATCTGAAGGATGCATGGAGCCCATTGTCTAACAGTTGCCTTGCTTAGAAAATCACAGAGAGAAATATTCCAGTAGTAGAGTAGAAATGCTCGGGAGCAGTTGCCAAAGAGTAAAACATATGTGTTTTTCACACATGTATTGGAAAGTATAGTATTCAGGGCAGCAGTTCAAGGAGCGTCTGGACGATGCTCTTAATCATATGGTTTAGTTTTTAGGTAGTCCTGTGAGGAACAGGGAGTTGGACTCAGTGGTCCTTATGGGTCCCTTCCAACTTGAGATATTCTATGCTTCCGTTTGGTCTTTTTTGGTCCTTCTTGTTAGTTTTGTTTCCTCTCACTCTTTGCATTACTAAACTTTGGTTTTTTTAAAGCCCAAATAGTGTTCAGCCTTATCAGCTGTACACCACAGCTGTATTGCCTCTGCTAATGGGAGGAGAAAGGCACACCCCAAGTTCTCGGTGTCTGCACAGCTGGACCTGCTTTGCACATGTGTGTACTTGTGTTCAATATAACTTCCTTTTTGAGCTTGTACTACACAGGTCTTTTGTTTCCTTGACAGAGTGCGCCCGGGAACCCCATTTTTCTGTGCCTTTCCTGAGTCTGGGATTCAGAGTAGATATTGTTCCAGTTGCAGCAACCCAGTTCCAGATGTCCCTGTTCCTGGGGAACCTGCAGCGTTCTCTGTGTCTGGAGGAGGAGGGACAGCGGCTGAAAGGGAGCAACAGGGCCAGGCAAAGCTTGCAATATAAAACACTGTCAGGATCAAATGGGGCTTAAAATAAGGTTGATCACAATTATATGTGTACAAGGCCAATCTGTCACCATGTTTATTTAATCAAGATCACATAGAGATTTTAATTAAAATACTGAGCTCATAACATCAGGCTGGTCATCTGTAACTGACAAGCATGTTTAGTTACACAGGGCAAAAAACGGTCCTTATTTATGTGCTAGTTTGGCTAAATAATGGGTAACTTGTTTAGATCACTTGCGGTAATTTGGCACAGAGTGATATTAAAAAACTCGCTTCTTGTCCAGTTGGTGCCAGTAGGAAAGAGCCCATTATTTTCAGTGAGTGGGATTGAGCCTTGAATAATTACTGTAGCGGCTGCTTATCTTAGTTTCTTAAATTCGGAAAATGGGAGCAACAGTTTAAATTCCTAATTTTCTGATATTCTGTGGCACCTGTTTCTCAAATGATACTTAAAAAGGGGAAAATTGACAGGGGGAAGAAAGGGAGAACCACCATCAATTTTTTGGTGTGCGTTTAGATTTGGCCTAAAATAAAGAGAGAAGACAGTAGTGCTGGGTGTCATCTTAACTTAAATCAGTTTGGCAATAGTAGTTTCTAAACTTGCTAGATGAAGCTTTCATGTCTGTTTATCAGGACAAAGTGCTCTATTAATTAAGCTCAATCCCATAAATCTCTTCTAACTTGCAATCAAATCCCAAAGTAACCTGGATCATGTTGCTGTTGAAGTCTACAGCCCAGGAGAATGGAGTTTAATATTTCATTTGTCTTATGCTCAGCTATGATGTGACTTGTAAGATGTCATTTTTGCATTGGGAATAAAAATCACGAAGTCTATCTTTTAATTGTCTTGCACCAAGAAACAAGTAATAAACTGTTTGTGATTTATAATAATTTGATTTTTAATGAAAACGTATCTACGTGCATTTCTTGAAAACAAATTTCTTGCAGAAATAACCTTACTAAGTCAAAACATAATCAGCCTGACATTTCATATCTGAAAAAGATTCTGGCAGGAGTTAATGGAACAATGCATAATAAAAGCAGAAACAAACCTTCCACAAAAAACTTAGCTCATGACACTAGTTTTTGTTCACGTTCGATACCTGCTACAATTACTATTCAGATGGCTTTTTTTTTTTCCCCAGAGGTACAGTGCACAGCTACTGCAGTCAATCTCAAGGAGATAGCGTCGTTCATTGTAATTAGTTAGCCAGAGGAAATGAAATTAAGTAACATTTCAGTTGATCATTTTGTATAATAATGGTTTCTGTGCATTTGTTTCTCTTCAGTGAGCAGATGGTAACCTGCAAGAATTCTCCAGAGGGAAAAGTCCCATCTTCCTCCCATCATGTGGTGCTCAAACTCCTTTCCTCCACATTTCTCTGGGTCTTGGATTCTTCCAGTTCTCTGGGCTCTTTGAGGAATCACTTTTAAGAGTGGTTTAGAATAACTCCCGCAGAACTCTAAAATTAATGTCATGCTGTAACATTTATAGGTTTCTTTTTCTGAGACAGAGATGTCCTTTTCGTCACCTTATTTTCACAAGAGAATAGAGTTTGTGTCCTCTGGGCTGAGGGCAAATCACGTTAGAGTGTGACAGAGGGAAAGCTAGATGAGATTAAAGCAATTGCTCATAATCTTGCACAGTTCGGCTCAGGTTTTCAAAACCACAAGGCATATGCTATTCATGTGGCTTCCACGGCTTCCAATATGCAAGCGTTATTTATACACTGATGGGGGGGAATAAAAATCAGGCAGGCAGCCAGAGCCCTGTAGGGGTTTTTGTAGTTTTTATCAAAGGGTGCTGCTGGGGTGTCTTTTATTGGCTTGCTTTTCTTTTTATCATAGAGGTGATATTCAGCCACCGGGTTCCTGCCCCCCTCACGGTGCTTTTCAGACAACTAGGCGCTCTTCAAGTCTCCTGCAGACTTTGCTTGAGTACCTTTGCTCATGAAGTGAAGGAAACTTTGCAGTCAAACACGACAGGAGGTGGTGATTCGCTGGTGCCTTAGAACTTTTCCTGGTTCGGAGCTACCAAGAGCCCCAGTTAGAGTCAGTTCCAGCAGCAGCCTGACTACTGTTATCGGTGACCATGGGAAGTTCCCTAGTGTTTAAATTTCCTAGTATTTTCTCAGGCACGCAGCCAGTGCTTTGTTTAAAAAAAAAAATCCTATTTTTAACCTTTATTTTGCATGGTAAATTCACAAAATGAGCAAGTGATTTGAGTTTTCCACTCCTTGCTAATTGTGTCGTGTTAAGCATTACACTTTGGCTGAACCACAGTACCATGATAGATGATTTTGATGTTCTGCCACGTCGGGTCGCAGGGCAGAGGAAGAGCTGTTGTACTGGAACCTTTTTAAATAGGGTATATGCTAAGTGCACTCAATCTTCTTTATTTAAGCCTTCTTTCCCCCCTCACCCTCCAAGATTATATTAACCCACTATTGCTCATATACTTAAAGGAGCAAATAAGTATAAACCTTCTGATCTCTGAAAGTGACTTGTGTGTTTTATTTTAAACAGAAGTTACTTTGCAGTTTCTGTATTTTTTGCAGGTGTTTCCGAATTGGTAATACTACCCCCAGTGTAAGGGGGCTGAATTATTAGCACAAATAAAAGAAGGCAAGTTCTTTTCAGTAACAGGTTAAATTCTTACGACAGATTTGGTAAATGACAGGAGAAACTGTGCCTGTGTTCCACAAGATTTTGGGACAGCCTTGCTATACAGATACAGAGTGGAAATGTGATCCTTTCGACGAAATTGTCTCAGACCTCTCATGATTTCTTTTTGTCTACAGAACCCCCAACTCCTATCGCCCCTCCGGAGCTGCTGGCTGTCGGAGCCACGTACCTGTGGATCAAACCCAACGCCAACTCCATCATTGGAGATGGGCCCATCATCTTGAAAGAGGTGGAATATCGGACGACCACTGGGAATTGGGCAGAAACGCACATTGTAGACTCTCCTAATTATAAACTGTGGCATTTGGATCCTGATGTGGAGTACGAGATCAGAGTGCTGCTCACTCGCCCTGGAGAAGGAGGCACAGGCCCGCCTGGACCGCCACTCACAACAAGAACGAAATGTGCAGGTAGGGTTTCTGCTGATGGGTAATATGGCACAGACATTTTGGTTTGCTTGCTTACACGTTAACAAATGGTCCTTCACACATCCTTATGGTAGATGTGCTTCATCAGTGATCTGAAGTGACATTATGAATTTTCATATATCCTAGAATATTTTAATTGTTATTCCATAGGCAAGTGCTTAACAGACTGTTGTTTTTATGCGTGTAGTGTGTTTGCCAAACTTTCTGCTACAGTGTATGGCTGCTTTCTGTTGAAATGGGCAAGCAGATGAGAGTTTTCCAACCAATACTCCAGTAGGTAAATTGTTCTTAAGACTTGTCTGTTATAAAATTTTCACCCTGTAAGTGCATAACAAAATATATGTTGGTCTTGGGTAATGGTTCAGCATTGGTTATTAACAAATTGACAGTGCTATCAATTTATGACTGCGGTGTAGTGAAGCAGTAAGCGTTTAGTTTTTAAAACGCATTTTTGTATTCCATTTGATGAAACTGACTCTTCTCACTTCTGACAAAGAAACCTGGTCAAACACTGTGCAGCATCTTCCCTTGGTCTTTCATATTAGAACAGATCAATTTTGATCCAGGGACAGGAAAAGTCTACCTTCTTTCTAAGCTATATCTGCCTTTCCAGGAAAAACTAAAGGATCATGTTCCTCATGTTTCAGATATATTGGCTATTCATCCTGTTTTCATACATTAATCATTAGCCATTAAGGGAAATCAAGCTCTGTGCCTTGCAAGGGGATGAACAAAGCAGTTTTCTACCTAGCAGTGTTTTTCCACAACACAACTGTCTTCTCAAGGTCTGCATTTTTGTAATTTTTGCAAGGTCCTTACTGTGGTATGAACAAAGGACAGAGACTATAAAAGGCTTCTCTCCTTTTTCTGCAACCTTCCTTCCCTCCCCACAAATTAGTGGTTTACAGCAAGCGGATTTAAGTAATGGAGAGCCTTATACCAAAGCATTGTGGTTCCAGTTGCTCTTTCTGATCAAATAACAAGTCTGAAGTGTGAAGAATGCCTCCAGAACAGCCAAATGCCAACCTGGGATGGGATTAAGCAGTGCAAAGGTTAGCATTCCTCACCCGCTGTCACTGCACGAGCATCTGCAGCAGCAGCAGCATCCTCTTCCTCTACCGAGAGCCGCAGCCTGGCAGGTTGAGTGCATTGTGGGGTGGGGGGCACATCCTTACTGCCTTTCCTGTATTCTACAGGTTATAAAGCAGTGAACATTTAGTGTCGCTTTGAGAAGAATTGTTTAAAAAAAAAAAAAAAATCTGAGTATGAGGATCTGCCCACGGAGGTGTTTGCTATATTCAGCACCTGTCCACTGGTAGAAGACAGATGTTTGGAGCCTTTTCTGCAGCTGGATGGAAAGCATGAAGTATCATAGATGATGGCCTTGGCCTATTTGGGAAATTGGCACATGATCTGCTACTCATCTTTTGGCTGCCTCCTCCTCCTTCACTAGTGTGGTCAGATTCTCTAACCCTCAGCAGAAGTACCTGCAGGCCTGGCCTGGGACTGTGCGTTTGCATCCGGAAACACGACGTGCTGAGATTTGGGGTGTAGTTCACGCACTGTGACTTTGCAAGCACACTCTCTGCAGCAGCCAAACTCACAAACTTTTCTGTATTACCTGTAAAGACTGCTTGCTTTAGCTTAATTCAGGGGTTAAAAAAAAAAAAAAAAGATGTTGGCTTTGTGCTTAATGATGTCTTGTGCTGGATCCCAAATTGCTGAGTTTCCTTGCTCAGCATAGGTATCGACTGACATCACGAAGGATGACGTAGATAATTTGTTCAAATTGGCTAAGCTGTGCCACTCACTATTTTCCATCCTAATTTACTAATGAAAATCAAACTGGAGAAGGCCATTCTGTTAATGTTAGTTGTCATACAGAGCTTGTTGAGATTGATGGTGGTGGCATTTATGTTTTGTTTAGGGCATTGGGTGGGAGAAATTGTAATGATCTTGACCTAAGCACAGTCTTGAAGGAAGGGAGAGACTTATCCAATATCTAAAGATGTACAGCTTCCACAAAATGCCAACTGAAATGATAGGCAAGAAAATGCAACTCATTATTCCAATTTCCATATGGAACTCCTTCAAAATACTCTATTTTGAGGATAATTATACAAACTTCCATAGTAAAGTTTTTCAAAAATGTGCCGAACCAAGAAAACAGCACTACATCCTTGATTTTTCTTACAGCACCTAATGAATGACATCAGTGAAAACTGAGGGGGTTTTGAATGATGTTGCTTTTAAGTGATTTTTTTTTTTTGGTTCTTTTCTATGTTATTTCTTTTTCTTAGCAAGACGAAGTACCAAACTCCTACACATGCCATCAGTATGTCATCAGTGGATGACTGGAGTAGTCCTGTTTTACTGGGCTGTTTAATGTTGGTACTGTGTTAATTAGGCTCACTAATAAAGATAACAGAATTGACTGCAGAATAATAGTGAAGAGTATCACCTGTACTGGAGAAGAAGTATTTACTTATTTAAATTGCAAGAAGTCAGCGTAACCATAAACAGAAGGTGTCTGCAACCTTCCAACAGTGAGAAGTCAATGTCCCTTTTACTAAGTAATCTCCTTAGTGTCTTTTTGCATAGATGACACATACTCGTGTGTTAGGGAGTCTTGAGTAACTACTGGCATAGCCTTCGATTTCAATTTTTATTTCCATTTCACAATTAGAGCAGGATTTGGGAAGGACCATGCTTTTCTTCCACTTCAAATCAAGCGACAGAAGCTCATTTACGAAGTTGCAGTTGTCTGCCATGAGTCCCTTGACTGTCGGCCTTGCATCAGAGCAAAAGCACGACCAGAATGGCTCAGCACGAGCTTGGAAAGTCATTACACCATGACGTGACTCTTCTCAAGATCATTCATGATTTTCAGATTTTTGATCAGAATGAATGAAAGTAGTTTTACGCAGACTTTTAAAAAGTTTTTCATTATATGAAACCCATAAAAACTAATTATGAAAGGTCTTACTCTAAATGAGCACAAAGCAGTTTTATTAAATTGGATAATATCTTATCAAAATTTCTATAAACAGTATGTGCCCAGACATCCGTTATCCCACTGGTGATATTTTTGGTTTTCTATGGGACAGCATTACAAGACTTCATTTATATTTGATCTTTAGAAATGATACTGAAAATTAAGTCTCAGCTTGCCTCCTTCCAGGAAAAGCCAACTGCCAGCAAATACAGCAAACCCTGCCTTTGTAAATGAGTGATTTATTTGATGTTGTGGGGGGGTTTGTGAGGGGTTTCTTCTTTTTCATAGACTGGATAGGTTGTGACTTGGGGCAGGAGAAGATGAAATGACCTTAAAGCATAAAGCAGTACACTGTCAGTCAGAGGGAAGAGTTGCAGGGAGAGAGTTGGGAAAAGAGAAAGATTGCTTAAGGGTAAGACCAGACACGGGGTTGAGAGGGTGGTTAAAGGAAAGGAAGATAGAAAATATTAGTTTTTACCCTCAAAATAATATGTTGGGGATGATAACGGGGATAAGAACAGTATGTTTGAACGCAGTCCCAGTAGTGCCTAGTAGTTGGGCACTGGTCTTTTGAGTGTGGTGTTTTTCTTAGCCATCCTCAGTAGTTAAACAGAGCTCTTAAAAATCCGTGTTTCGTGGCCTTCATTCAAAAGTGTGCTTTGGAAAGCTGTGATTTGGGAAGCTTGGGGCTTTTCTTCTCTGTGCTTATTCATTATTCCCCTGTTTTTGTTTGTGTTTTTTTTTTTCTTTCTCCAGTTGCCACAGAATGGGAGAATAAGGGAAAAGTCCTTTTTTTCCTCTGGTGGACAGGAAAGAGAAGGGAAGACCTTGCAAACGAGGTCCTCATTGTCAGGGGAACCTCATCTGAAAAGTGTTTCTCTTCTACTGGGACGAACTTGCATGAAAAGCAAGGCCAAAGAGTAACAATTAAATGAAAACTAATAAAGGGACAGAGATAAGACTTTTTGTAAATAATAATATTTAGACCCAGTTAAAATACTATGTGGAAAAACTATCTTGAACGTGAACTTCTCTGCCTGTTTGGATGATGACAATAGGTGACTCATAAGACAGGGAGGGTTTTGTGGCCCTGAGGCTTGGAAGCAGAGAACTTTCCAGTCTGACAGCATTGTCCCTTGGTAAGGAATGGGAGGGGAGAAAGTCCTGAGAAACCCTCTAATCCCTCTCCCACCCCCCAAAAAGGTGCGGCAATGATTCTTCATAGGAAAGCTTATGACAATAGGAGGTCTGTCTTCATATGAAAAAATTCACGTGGATCACATACAACCTATCTCTTAAGGTGCTGTTCGAGCAGGAGGAGGTGATCTAGCTCCTGGAGAAAGGAGCGGTTCTCAAGATCAATACTCAGTTTTGTTCTTGGCCTAGGGAAATAAAAGTTAGTCTTGAACGATGCGGCTGAATTCAATGCTTCTTTTAAACATAGTCAGGGTAAAGTACTGATATAAATGCAAATAATCTGTACGTTCAGAGTTTGATATGGTATGGCAAAGTAGTTGGAAAATCTTTTCTGTTAGTTATTATTAAAAGGTACTTCGTTGCCATGAAATCTTGAGAAATTTAGAAGTAGTAAGCAGCTTTTGCCTTTTTTTGTCATTTTAAGACTACATTTTCATATTTTATAGCAACGTTTTTGTCTGTTGCTGTTACAAATCTTAGAAAAACGACGTTAGTTGTGTGCTGTTACGAAATGCACAAACTGAGCAACCAGAAGGTTACTTTGTTGTGTGCTGAATTAGTATGAGTTTTTCCAACAGGTTCAAAACTAATTCTTTCTAATTTAGTTTTAAGATGATAGCTCCTGTTAAATAGGAAACATTCACATGTTAATGTTGAAAAATAAGATTCAGGGTTGCTATACTGCTGCCTTCATTTTTTTTCAATCTTAAAAAAAAAAAAGAAAAATAATCTGATATATGAGTCAAAGCACTACGCAAAGTGAATTGAATGAGAGTTCTGTACAACTGAT